TTTCTTTACTGCGTCCTCACATTCCCAAGAGAACCAGACCTTGTTCTTCCGGGGTTTTGTTTTTGTTTTTGGTATGTGTTTGTGGCATATTTCTAAAAGCTTTTCGTGAAATTTATTGTAGTTGTGGTCGAAATTGGGATTAAGAATCTTGGAACATTGATTGGCAAACCCGTCCCAGTCTGCTTTTTTTGAAGTTGAAGCGTTCTGGGATCGGGTCGTTTTGGAGGCTATTGTTTTTGAGGAGAATTGGGAAATGGTCCGTACGGTCATCCAGCACAGACCACTCAAGATCTGGGACTAGGTCAGGGGTACAAAAGGTAAGGTCAAGGGATGAAGTGCCATAAGTGGCTCTGTTTCTGTAAGTTGGGGATTTATCATTTAAGAGACAGATGTTATTTTGAGATAAAAAGTTTTCTATTATTTTTCCTTTCTGGTCTATAGGTTTGTCTCCCAAAAGGGGGCTGTGGGCATTGAAATCACCTAGCAAAATAAACGGTTTTGGTAGCTGAGCCTTTAAGTCATTTAGTTGGGTTATTTTGAGGGGGTAATTTGGTGGGATATAAACTGAGCAGATCGTGATTGGTCTGTGCAGGGTGACCCGTACGGCATTAGCCTGGAGGGTCGTCTTAAGATGTACTTGTCTGTGGAGTGTGTGGTTGTCGGTGTAGATGGGGTATCCAAAGGAATAAATATTATAATTGCAAGAAATTGCAATATATTTTTTCCGTCGCTGATTCCAGCAAAATTTTGAATTTTATGAAGGCCATTGGCTTTTATGGCAAACTGTAAACTGAAATCGAACTATTTAAAATTATTATTGTTACTTATAAGAGTTGTTTTAAATCACAAATATATTTACACTGAATTTAAATATTTTAACATTTCAGCATTTTAGAATCAATTAGTTAACCAATCGTCCAGTGAACTTTTGCGAAAGTAAACAACTTGTGTTTCGCGCGCCCATACGACCTTAGCAGTTGCGAGAGCCGTAAAACCCTATACTAATACGATATATGAATCCAACACCTAGGCAGTTCCGGCTTCTAGTCGGCTTCAAGCAGCTTCACGATCCAGGATAGCGTCCATTTCGAAACACAGCGAGGCACCAACAGTTTTCTTTTCAAAAATAAGTTTAAAAAAAGAAAAACATTTTAATAAATATAGTCATTGGTAACCGTTGGTTTTGTGTAAAAAAGAATCGGAACTTTTCCTTTGTAGCACTAATCGAGGGAATCGGTTCCGGAATCGATTCTTCGCCCAGCTCTAAACGAAACTTTTTTGTACATTTATCAGAAGGCAGTACGGAATTAGAGGGGGGGGGGGAGAAGGGGGGAGGGGAGGGGGAGCGAGAGAGGAAGGAGAGGGGGGGAGAGAGAGGAGAGGGGAGAGAGAGGAGGGGGAGGGAGAGAGGAGGAGGAGGAGATAGATAGCTAAATAGATAGAAAGATAGATAGAGAGAGAGAGAGAGAGAGAGAGAGAGAGAGAGAGAGAGAGAGAGAGAGAGAGAGAGAGAGAGAGAGAGAGAGAGAGAGAGAGAGAGAGAGAGAGAGAGAGAGAGAGAGAAAGGAAGGAGTGTTCCATCATAATACACGGCGCACACCGATAGTCGGAGTAATCTCACTGAGCCTCGCGGCATGGCACACTTCACTTCGTGGTAGGGCCTACAAAACTACCATTTCGGCACAATACGACCGACTTCTACTGAATTCGACCGCGGCTTTCAATATCAGACACTTTTGATGTTCAAGGTCGAGATATAAATTGATTTAGTTATGCCAAAGTGGTAGTTTTTTGCCCTATCCATGAAGGAAATTCTGACAGACTCCGTGTCAATCTGATGAATCCGATTTACAGTGTGCGCCGTACGGTGTTCGCAACTGCGTAAGTCATAAGGTCAAATCAATATGAGCACGTGGGATGTTTTTAACACTTTTAGTCTATTAGCAATGAATTTTGAATTTTGCCGCGAGGCGGTCGAGGTGTACTATTATCGATTTTGGACCACCAAGGGATCTTAAACTTGCCCAATTTGCACACAAGACCTCCGAGATATTTCGCCCTTTTCCGAGAAGGCTAGATGTTAGATCTTGCCTACCATAAGATCAGGGGTAGGGCTAAATTACAGCAGTGAAAAGGAGTGAATGAGTAGCAGTAGAAAAGCTGCAGAAAGAGTCAGGAACCCAGAGGATGGGCCGAAGGGGAGGGATGGGGCGAAGGGGAGGATGGGGCGAAGGGGAGGATGGGGCGAAGGGGAGGATGGGGGGAAGGGGAGGTAGGGGGTGGACAAAAAGCGGCGACGGAAGCAGACGACAGCACATGGTTAAAGAGTTGGAAAGGAGGTGAACAGGATAGTATTGAGAGAAGAAAGTTTTCTGTCGCTATCAGGTTTCGAACCCGGAACCCCTTGAATGACACCCTGACCTCTTGACCACGAGAACCCCTTGAGGAAGAATCTGTTTTTGAAATGAAATGACAAGTGACTCGTACATAACAGTGACACCAAGCATGATGAAACACAAAATAAATCTAGCATGATGATAAAATAATATATATCACTTTTATTGCCTGGACAAGCTGCATTCATGTCAACAAACACACAGAAGCAGAAAAAGGGGGAAAATAATGGTGTTTTGTATGTCTAAGAACTTTTAGTTGTGAACACATCTGGAGGCATCAAGCACTTTAGCAAATTTTGTGAAATAAGATTTGTCGTTTTCCAAATTTGTAACTGGGGATGGGCCCAAATACCATTGTTATAGGGTCAGATTACAAATTTTGCAGAAATTTGAATACATATTTGAAAAATTATACATGTCAAAAGTTAATAATAATATTGTAAATAATTATAAGAATGATAGCACACATACACACACACACACACACACACACACACACACACACACACACACACACACATACACACACACGCACGCACGCACGCACGCACACACACACACACACACACACACGCACACGCACGCACGCACGCAAATACACACACATAATTATGTCTCAAAGGCATTTCATGGGTTTAAAAAATGAATAAATAACAACTTTGAATTCCACTTATGACGAAATCGTAATGGACAAAGTAAATTTGTAAACAAGCGAAGAATCTAATCTCTTCCAGCGGTAAAAAATCCACGGATTTATTTAAAAAGACCCCCCCCCCCCCCAGATAAAAAAATAAAACAAACACCCCCTCCCCACAAAGAAACAACAACAACAACAACAACACATAAAACCAACAAACAAGCAACAAACAAATGTACAGATGACGACATTCCACTACTAACAATTTTGATAAATCGCTACCTCAGAATTATCTAGTTCTATCTAGCATTTTTGGTCGATTTGGGTTACCAAGACCATGAAGTCAGAAAATAAATATTCTATCTGCTCTATCAAAACCATAAGAATATTTGGAGTCGTCAAAATATTGAAAGAATTGTATTTGAAAAAGCTTGAAGTATTGTGAAATTCAAAATTTTTTACTTGAATTTTCGCCAAACTAGATACTGAGCAGACGTAATTTTTTTTTTTTGGGTAGAGATTTTACGGCGCTCGCAACTGTATAAGGTTATAAGAGCGCCAAAAGATTAGAGGTGTTATAAGAGAGTAACAAACATTTAAAAAAGCAGAAGTGGAGATAAGGACATTAGATGTTTGATAGGAAAGAAGAAGCAAACCACACCAGAGCACCCGCCAACCACCCACAGATGGAACTTTGCAATTCTGAGGTAACAAGATGGCGACGGAACCACTACAACCGTTGTGCAATTCCATGCTGTCGCGAATACTTCCGCCCGGAAGTGAATGATCTACCTTACCGTATCTTTGACAAATTGCCAGTCCTGAGTTAAAAAAACAACCAAAAATTCAAGTCCAAAAAGTAAATGACGACACAGAATGCATAAGTGAATCAACTTTGACGTCACCTTTTCAAAGACAAGATTAAACATATACAAAACTAAGTTTGATCTACGACATATTTTGCTATATATTCTGAACGTCTCTAAGGGGAAATGTGACGTAAAAAAAACAAACCAACAACATTATTTGTATGAATCAGTTAACTGTGAATTATTTCAATCTACATTGAATGACCAATTCAGAAAAAAATGCTCAATGTCATTCATAACACACTTTGTCGTCCCCATGTCAAAAAGGATCCACACACACGCACACACACACACACATACACACACACACACACACACACACACACACACAAACACACACATGTTGACATAATATACATGTATATAGATATATAATTAAACTAAGTAGTTAGTATGTCTTTTTCCATGTCTCTTATTGTCTGTCTGTCTGTCTGTCGTCTGTCTGTCTGTCTGTCTGTCTGTCTGTCTGTCTGTCTGTCTGTCTGTCTGTCTGTCTGTCTGTCTGTCGGTCTGTCTGTCTGTCTCTTTCTCCTCCTCTCTCTGTCTCTTGTCTCTCTCCCCCACCCTTTCTTCTTGCCCCTCTCTCTCCTCTCTCTCTCTCACTCACTCTCTCGCTCTCTCTCGCTCTCTCTCTCTCTCTTTCCTCTCTCCTTTCTCTCCCAATCTCCTGCTCTCCCCCTCCCCGCCCTCTCTCTGTGCTATACATGTGCATTAAAAGAAAAAGAAATAGAAAAATACAATATATTTTTATCAGAAAATGAATAAAGATCGCGTGTACCAAATTTCTCTTGGCTATAATGAATAGTAAATGATATATTTTACTTTTAAGGTGGGTGTGACAACGTTTGCAACTCAGTGGAATCAGGCACTCGTCATTCTTTCTAAATGGGAGTTAATGGTACCGTCTTAAAGGTTGTTCATTTGCCTTGTATTTGATTTTTAAAAAAAGTATCCATTTATCAAGAACAGAAGTCGAGATATTTGCGAATGAAGAAAGTGGGATTTCAGCTGTTTTTTTAGACGTAAAATTATCAAGAAAATGACGCCAAAGTTTGGTGGCTTCCATAGCTCGAAAGTCCTTGGAAACAGCAATTTTGCTTTTTGTGCATTTAATCAACGTTTTTCTATAAAATCCACACTAAAGAATATTTTTGAATAGTCATAAAAGGTGTTGGGCGTTACAATGTTTTTAAAAAAGTCCAAACTGGCCAAAAAATATCGATTTCTTCCATTTCAATATTGTGACGACTCCCTCATTCCACAACACTGCCTCGCGTATTGAATTAGAGTCGCTCATCAATTATCTCCGAGTCCAGACACTGGTATTTGTCCGACTGGAACATATCCAGCTTGATATAGTCCCCCTCTTTCTCCAACAAGTCTTCCATACGCAACGAGATAGAGGCGAAGCTGGGCCGGTTCACAGACAGGAAGGACCAGCACTCACACATGAGCTCGTAGCTGAAACATACGATACAGGTGAGCACTCACACATACACACACACATACACCCACAAATACACACATAAATACACACACACATAAACACACACACACACAGTACACACACACACACACACACACACACACACACACACACACACACACACACACACACACAC